AATAAGGCTCGAAGAAACAAACTAAGAAAAAGAAGAGTCTGTGTCTAACAACTGTCGCATTAACAAAAAAAACAAAAAACTAGGATTCAGTTACATCAACTGCTGAACTTCAACCCCAGAACACCCTATTTTCCTTTCAAATATGATAAACCATAAGGGTACACAGTATCAAAGATAACTTTGGCAATTTCAAACTAACAGAATGTGCAAAATGGTCGTGAAATCAGGGAACATGGAACCTTAATGATTCATGACTCGAACATGCTAAGATAAAACAATTGAAACTGGTCTGTATTATGAAATTGGAACCAATGAACACAGTCATTTAGACTTAAAATCAATCGATTTCGACTAAATGCGGTAAAACACCTTCAAGAGTTCATACCATCTCAAAGATGAAAGCAAACGTTCATTTGAAAACGACGAAATATGACTCAAACGAAAACTCGATGCCATAATAACAGTTAGATCATATAAGCATAGAGGTCAACCCCACAAAATCGACTCTCGTTAGCTGAACATAGTTAAATGCATCACACATGGAGAGGAGATTTATCAGCAAGACATCAGATTACAGGACAAAACCATTCCGAACAAAATCTCACAGCTCAAGACGCTTTGAAACAGAGATGCAGAAGAGAAAAGAAATTGAACCTGAGATTTCAAATTTCCTTTAATAATAATAGGCTCGACAAAACACTTTTCGACTCCAAATCCTAGCGAGGTTCAGCAAACAACTCAGCAAGATGACCGTGAAACCTAGTTTGAACTTCAATTTTATCTCCTTATAATTCCAATCCGGATTCAGAAAAATCAGAAGAAGAAATTGTATCTATGTTTCTCTTAAGCTTAATGACTTCGTCAAAGAAAATAGCCTCCGAAAAACCATTTGTTCACCAGAAAACCTTTCAATTTTTCTCTGAAATTTTTTCCACCCCCCTCTGAAATCCCAAAATTCCTCTAGTTATTAGGCAGACACCTGATGAATGAAGGGCTGGGATTTATCGGAATCCATCCCACGCTCTCCATTCATCCAGCATATGCCTTCTAGAGGCTTCCAATCACGTGAGAAAGGAATGGGGATGGGAGAATCTGTCAGAGGTCGTTATAAAGATGGTGACGAGAAGGGAGGGGGAACGCGTGAGGTGGGATGAGAGCTCACTCGCGCGGATTTTGGGCTGGAAAAGGGTTGGTTTTTGGGCGTGTTGGAGAAGAAGAACAGTATGCATATCTGATTTAGGGATTTTGGTTTTGGCTCTTTGTATCATGCGTGTAGTAGAGACAGATTGGGTTTGGAGGGTATCTGGGCCGGATGGGGCGGGTTCTGGGTGAAATTCGTTTGGGCTGGGGAGAGTAAATTGGATATGGCCCAAAATGAGTATCTTATTAAGAGGACCAAGATTCTTCTTAATTTCTTTTCTTTTCTTTTCAAATAAAAAAACATAAAAACCTAAATTAACTCTTAAAAACTAAATTGACTTATCAAATTATATTAAGCTCTAATTAATAATCGACACAATCAATTAAATACCAAATTAGAAGAAAATTAATGAAACTCAAAGCTAAGAATTAAACGATGCACAAATAAATTATTTTTTTGTGATTTTTCTAATTTGTAAAAACCCTAATTATTAAGTAATCTAAAAATATGTGAAACTAAGTCCTAACTGCGGATGCAATGTATATTTTAGTATTTTTATTAGTTAAAAGAAAAATGCAAAGACAAAAATGCAGACAATTAACAGAAAATGTCACAAAAATTCGCATAATTGCAAACACTGAAAGAAGTTATTTTGTTTTGAATTTCTGGGAGTAATTAATATAGGGCAAAATTCACGTGCTCACACCCTTTTTCCTCTTCATCTTCCTTTCTAACACTGCTTGGTTTTTCATTTCTTTTCCCATCTTTTCTTTCTGATCATCGCTTTTTTCTTCCTCCTATTTCTCACGTCCCACAACTTCATTCTCTTTTTTTTCTTTTTTCTTGTTTATTTTTTTTTTAATGATTATTCGATCGAATCCTATGTAGGTTGCCTATGTATCATGTCCCTCATGAATCAGATCAAGCGTAGTTCTGAAAAAAAATGATGGATAAAATAAACTAAAACAAATCTTTTAGATTTTCCATTTATAACTTTTTTTGGTTTTTCAAATACAAAAAGGAAGTACTATAACAAAAGACTCGACAATCTTAACTAGACTGACAGACTTGATACTACTGTACAAGACTAATAATTAAAAGACAAAATAAAATAGACTAAAAAATAAAAAATTTCCTCAAGCAGCTCGTGCATGCAATGGTCTTGACTAGAATGGTCATGGGGTATTTGTCATGCTCGAGTCCTGGTAAATGAATCCATACCTTAGTGAAAAAAATAAAACCAAACAGATTAAATGATTCAAGACACTATGTGAGACCACACCTCCTATTAGACACATGCAAGACAAGCTTGGGCTATTTTTGAAAATTAAACTACATGGTTAAGAGTGGCTATTAATGCAAACTCAACAAGATTGGCCTCATGGACAAGGAAAATGCCTCACTAAGGCTTTTATGGATTCAAAGTCCGAACATCATGGCCCAAAATTAATTTGCGGAAATGCCCGATTTTGCAAAAATGATCGATATGGCCCGAAGTGGCTGAAGATGAAAGCTCAAAAGGACGGACCTTAAGGTAGTGGGACACTTAGTTGCGAACTCAGGATTCTGAGACATGGGTCATGAACCACTTTTGCGAAAAATGACCTATTTTGCAAGAATGACCGATGTGGCCAAAAGTGGCTAAAGATGCAAACTCAATAAGGACGTGCCTTAAAGTAATATGACTCCTAGTTGTGGACTCAAGATCCTAAGACATGGGTAATTGAACCACTTTTGCGAAAATGACCCCATTTTGCAACAATGGCCGATGTGGCCAAAAGTGGCTAGACATGCAAGATTTGGCTAAAACCCCGCGAAGCCAAGAACTTAAAACTCACTAGGAAGACCGGGCCCTATGTGGGTTGCCTACGCATCACGTCTCAAAAGGCGAGAATCAGGTTCACGTAGTTCGAGAAGATTAGATATGAGAGAAAGCTTAAGAAATGACACTAATTTGGAAAAATATTTTTTTTTTGTCTTTTGTCTTCTTTTTTTGAAAAATGATGGAAAATGTAAAATCTTTTTGGATTTTCTTTTTCATTTTCATTTTTGAAAAATAGTGAAAAAGTGTAAAATCTTTTCTTTTTGGATTTTCTTTTTCATTTTCATTTTTGAAAAATAGTGAAAAAGTGTAAAATCTTTTTTGGATTTTTCATTTTTCATTCTTTTTTGAATTTTTGGAAAATAATGGAAAAGTGTAAAATCTTTTTTTTTTGGATTTTCTATTTTCAATTTTTTTTGTCTTTTCTTGAAAAAGTCGTGAAAGAAAAATATAACAGCCCTACTTTTTTATTTTTCACCCTTTTTCCCAAACATCGATCCGCCAAATGACCTTTTTACCCTCACAGATGCAATATTTAGCACATAGGATGATTGAATATCTTTTTGGGCCACGGGCCCATTTTGACAAAATTTGGATAGGCTTCCTACAAAGGGACACGGTGCCTGGGGCCGAGCCCTACTAGGTCCAAATGACATGATGCAAATAAAAATGACCTAAAGGCTGACCTAAGTTTGGGGATCACTAACAAGGCAATTCGGGGGAGCGTATGATCGATGGTGGCTGCTCAAGCTTTCCACCCATTCCATACGTCCGACGGCCCCCCTCCTAAATTAAGGGTGACTTAACAAAGAGTCGTACACGCGATGCGTACTCCGAGACTTGTTGCAGAAAAAAGACCCATGGTTATGCAAATGATGACAGTTTATAAAGCAGTAACACATTAAGTAAAGCGATAAACAAATAACCAACAAAACAAGGAAATAAGGCAAACAAAGCAAATAAACAAAGCAAATAAAGAAAACAAAAACCTCAACCGAATATCCTAAAAGCCAACAAGATTAAGTACCAGCTCGAACCTACAAGGTCCCCAACAGAGTCGCTAGAGATGTCACACCCCCCTTTTTAACCAAACCTCCACTAACCCTCTTAAATAAATAAAAGAGATTTAGTAGAGCTTGAAAAAGGATTTTCCAGTTAGAGTCGCTACCTGACATTGATTTCGGTGTGCCAGGTCACCGTTTTTTTTAAAAATAATTTTCCTTTAGAATACTTTGAACTCCAAAACATAAGTCCGCACCAAAGATTCGGGTAAGGGGGTTCATTTGACTCGGGAAAAAAGTGTTAGGCACTCCCAAGTCCCGTAACTAGTACGGTTGCATACTTGATCTAGTCGGCTTTCAAAACATTCAAATTGAGGTAAAACACACAGAAATAAAATAAACACACAAGAATCAACTACACAGCTTCTTAAAATTCAATTTAGGCGAACAAGTCCCGCGACCTATTTGTTTCCTTACCTAATTTGTACAAGTTAAAAATCAACTACACAGCTTCTTAAAATTCAATTTAGGCGAACAATCTCTTAATCCAACTTAACAACTAACGTTACTTCTTTGATGCAAGTTAATAATCAAAGACAAGGAATCAAACACATTTAACATATTGAAAATGAAATACTCAAACCTAAAAATAAACAACAAAGAAGCATAAAAAACAAACATGTAATATTATCAAAAAGGGACGAACAAGATAGGAGATGGGATCTCATTGTAGAACCTGAGATTTACAAGCACTCGCACAAAACTGTGGAACGAGGCTAGACCGGAAAATCGAATGGACACCTTAAAGTCGGCCTCCACTGACTCGCTTCAAAACAAGCCTCGAATAGAAACTAACGAGCAAATCAAAAAATGGAAACATGAGCAATGACCTGCTGAGGATCTGTTTATGTTCTTTTTTTGTTTGGTTTTCTTGGTTTTTCGACCATATGTATATGTGTGGCGGATTTTCAAGGTGTTACTCAAAGATTGTTGCTTATGGCTGCTCAGGGGTGTTTATTTTTTTTGTGAAGTGAAGCAGCAGGTCAAGGATGGAGGTCAAGGGCCCGAGGGTGGTTTGGCAGAGCGTTTGGTTGGAGTTGCTGGCGGCGACGGCGTGGCTGGTGAGGACGAGCAGTTGTTGCTGCTTAGGGGTATGTGTGTGCGGCGGTTTTGGGTGGTGTCTAGGTTGTTCAGATTAAGGGGTCAATGGCGGCTAGGCTGGTGGTGTAGGGTCGGCTGAGTGGTGGAGATGGGTGGTCGTTGGCCGGGATGGTTGACGGCTGAAGGGGTTCCTATGGTATTCTGTCGATTTTTTTTCTTCAGGTTCTCCTAGGGTTTTTCATGGTGTAGGTTCTGTCTTGTATGTTTTTTTTTTGGCAATTAATATTGTCCATAGGATTAAATTCAAATAGAGGGCCAAGATTAAAAGGTTATGGGTTGGGTTAGTGGGTGAATTGGGTCAAGAAGATTGGGCTTTGTGAATTGGGTTATAAATTTTGTTTTTAATTCTATAATTCTTGCAATTTGGCTAAAATATTAATGCCTTTTCTAAAATAATACCATAAAATCGTAAAATTAATCTTAATTAACTAGAACAACTATATTATGACATGAAATTATTTTTTGATATTTTCAAAGATTATACTCAAAAATAAAAATGCGTTAAAAACAATATTTTTTCTAAAAATACCTAATACCTTAATTAAATTGAGAAAAATGAAATTATTTTTGTATTTTTCAATTTTATGATAAAAATAATATAAAAGAGTCAAAATTAGTTGAAATAAATATATTAGACCTAAATTAAGTATTTAAGTACTAAAATATGTAAAATCTTGAGGAGGGTCAAAAATCACATGTCTACAAATATAATTGATAGATGCTCTTTCCTCACTTGTTATATTTTCTTGCCCAATTGGCTTATAATTTTTCTTAACTAAATGAATCGGAAAAATTTCAAACTATCTTAATTTTTTTTTTTATATGAAACAACAACTTAGCAACCCAAATCGAGCTCAAATCAACCAAATTGACTGCATGTACGCTATGTTATTATGGTTAGTGGCATGTCTATATTAAAGAAAAGATGATGGCACCTATAATTTTAAAATTCTAAATCCGCCTCTGCGTCCTCCGTTCGTTTCCTTAATCCCCATTTGTAGTAGAAATTTTCTTTTCTTAAAAAAAATAAAGTAAAAATAATATGGCTTAAAACTCTATGCAAAACGAATCCACCCCCGTTTAAGCGTAACGGGTCGAATATCTGAAGGTCCCGAAAGTAGAATGGGCTAACGGATGTTTACAAGTGACACCAGGTAGTCACTTTTAAGCATGTTATTTAAAATATCCACAGTTTGTGATGTATTTAAAGATTAATCAATTTTGCTCAAACTTCCGGACACGATGTCCTAGAGTTTAAACCTCAAAGTTCAAACTTCGGGACATCGTATCCTAAAGTTGGAAAATTATGTCCAGAAGTTAGGATCTTATGTCCTGAATTTTAAATTAGTAGTTCAGAAATTCAGGACAGAGTGTCCTGAATTCAAATTAGCAGCTCAAAAATTTAGGATAATCAGTCATGAATCCAAATTTATGATATTTGGTCCTGAAGTTTGGGTGAATTGACTAATCTTTAAATACATTATAAACTGTGGATATATTTTAAATAGCGGGCTTAAAAATGTCTATTGCTTCACTTCGCGCAACGACTGATCTGTAAGGAAACATTAAGGCCCATTAAGCTCCTGTGTTATTTTCCATTTTTTCATTCCTTTCATAACAATTACTTCTATTCTCCAAATTTCAATATTTTAATTTCTTCGTAGAAATTTAAATATAATCTATTCTCGTATAAGAAAATGTTATTTCACGAAAATTGAATGCGCAAAGGAAAGCATTTTATGATAAATATCATGATAAGAAATACTTCTAATAGAAAATTAAGATTCAAGAGGGATTAAAAATATAGTTGATCAAATGATACTAACTATAGTTTATAGCCTGTTTGGCCAAGTTTTTTTTAATCAGAAGTGCAACATATTTTTTTTTTTGAGTCAAAAGTATTTTTTTCTAAAATTAAGGTGTTTGATCAAGCTTTTGAATAAAAAAGCAAGCAGCTTTTGAGAAGTAGAAAAAATAACGTCTATCAAAAAACACTTTTTTGAAAAGCACTTTTGAGAAAAAATACACATAGAAGCACTTTTTAAAAGTTTTGTCAAACACTAATTTCTGCTCAAAAGTACTTTTCAAATTAAATAGCCAAACACAAACTGTTTCTCACCAAAAGTATTTTTTTTAAAAGCACCTTTGAGAAAAGCACTTCTCAAAATAAGCTGATTTTAGAAGCTTGGTCAAACATGCTATAACACTATTTTAGAAGCTTGGTCAAAAACTATTTTTAAGGCCAGAACACTTTTAATTGTTTTGCCCAAATCCCGCGACCTATTTGTTTCATTACCTAATTTGTACAAGTTAAAAATCAACTACACAGCTTCTTAAGATTCAATTTAGGCAAACAATCTCTTAATCCAACTTAACAACTAACGTTACTTCTTTGATGCAAGTTAATAATCAAAGATAAGGAATCAAACACATTTAACATATTGAAAATGAAATACTCAAACCTAAAAAAAACAACAGAGAAGCATAAGAAACAAACATCTAATATTATCAAAAAGGGACGAACAAGATAGGAGATGGGATCTTATTGTAGAACCTAAGATTTACAAGCACTCGCACAAAACTGTGGAACGGGGCTGGACCGGAAAATCGAGGGGACACCTCAAAGTCGGCCTCCACTGACTCGCTTCAAAACAAGCCTCGAATAGAAACTAACGAGCAAATCAAAAAATGGAAACATGAGCAATGATCTGCTGAGGATCTATTTATGTTCTTTTTTTGTTTGGTTTTCTTGGTTTTTCGACCATATGTATATGTGTGGCGGATTTTCAAGGTGTTACTCAAAGGTTGTCGCTTATGGCTGCTCAGGGGTATATTTTTTTTGTGAAGTGAAGCAGCAGGTCAAGGCTGGAGGCCAGGGCCCCGAGGGTGGTTTGGCAGAGCGTTTGGTTGGAGTTGTTGGCGGCGATGGCGTGGCTGGTGAGGACGAGCAGTTGTTGATGCTTAGGGGTATGTGTGTGCGGCGGTTTTGGGTGGTGTCTAGGTTGTTCAGATTAAGGGGTC